GCTCCACTTCCTCCTATAGAAGTGGACAATAATGAAGAGTTTGAAGTAGAAGAAGTCTTAGATTCAAGGCGGCACCGAAATAAATTAGAATATCTTATACATTGGCGCAAATATGATATTACTGAACACACATGGAAGCTAGTAAAGAATCTTGTAAATGCAGCAAATGCGGTGGAGGCTTTTCATCGACGACATCTATCAAAATCAACATAAAAATCTTCTTTATAAAAGAAACAACATCTAGGCAAGATAACATTCTACTTTCAATCCTTGTTTGTAGCTTCTTTGTAGTTGTGATGCTCAGGAGATGAAAAACCAACAACCAGTGGATTCGACTCAAGAGCCTTCATTTGCTGACCTACCGAATGAGACATTACGATTGTCACAACCTTTAAGACAACGCAATTGAGATGAAGATCTTCAAGAACGACATGTTCTTCCTTGAATAGATGGCGAGATACAACGCGTTTGGTATCATGGATTGGGAAGAGACTCCCAATGTTTGGTGATTTTGCTAGAGGTAGGAACAATTCCTGATGGTGTTCCAAATGTTCTATTTGAAGGAAGTTATGAAGGCCTCAACAATGATCAAATAACTGGGTGGTCTTCCCGCCTTGGTATGAGAGTCTACCGATAGTTGAGAGGCCCTATCAATCATCTTTGAAGAGAACAAAGATCAGAATATGTGGCAAATACAATTCGTCATATCATAGATTTCTTCAACATATGATGACCGCTCCTCGTGGAACTCATTCCTAGAAGGGGAGGTAATGTCATGGACATACTCATAATTACATATACAAATATGTAGAAGTAAATAAAAGTAGATAAAAGTAAGTTAATTCTATAGTATTTGATATGGAAGCTTCCTAAAAGCTTAATAGATGCTGCTTTGACTTCATAGGTGTCTTTAATTGACTTTTTGGATTAAAAACGTGGTCAACAAGTTAGCCATGTACCACAGATGTTATTATGTTATTAAAACTATATCTGATATATAGATTATTATAACCTACCTATATATGATTTGTTTTTTTTATTATTGGGTTGAAAGCATCTATGGTGAAAATGTACGAGTTGCCATTGATTAAATTTTTGAATTGCTTTTATTTTATTGCTCTAATCTTGCCTTTATACTATTCCAATATTTTGTGCCATATCTTTGGCACTACTCACAAGTTCATCTAGAATCTCTTTCAAAGTTATCCATGTCAGTATTTTCATGGCAATTAGGTGACTTGAGTTGAATCTTGCTACTCTTAAGTACTAAAGAACTTTGGAACTTTATTGTCTTTCCATTCCTATTGACCAAGTTTTGATAATTTATTGCAATGCGTACATGCAACAATCTTTTTTTCAATTCTAAAAGAACAATCCTTTAGAAATTTTGTAACCTTAATGATTTCTAATGTTCAATAAATTTTTTTAGGTTTAATATTTTAGATGTATAGAAGTACAATGTCTCCAAGCTACAATTCAAATGTTTTACATTGTATAATGTTTTATTCTTTGCAACCTCCAAAGTCCTTTGATTCAACCAGCTTTGGATTATATTCTATAAATGAATATCATTGTATAGGTTATTGTCCATAAGATGAGTTTTGGATAGAGGGTTGTCACTTGAGTTTGGAATTATGAACAAAGTGAAAAATTCTTTTTTTCATATTTATTTCAAAATTTTAACATAAGATTGTAGCTAGTGACATTAGTGTAGGTGACTAATAAGATTCTTGATACAACAAAAAATCTAGATCTGAACCTTTATAACAAAAGGCTTAAACTCTTTTGTTTATTATTTAATGCACATGTCCTACATTGTCTACAGAGAAGGTGTCTTTAGTTTGGCTCATCATTCTAGGATTGTTCTAGTCATCCTTGGTTTACTGAAATAAGATAAACACACCAAAAACTTTTAGATGTATCCAAATCTTTATTCTAAATGAACATTTGAAAAAAATATTTATCTTCCTCAGATCTTAGTTAGAAAATATTTTCTCTGTGGTTGCCAGAAGAATGTTAAAATAGTTGAATGAATTTATTTTCTTGGCATCCTTTGATGGCAACATTGTGCATATCCTCTAGGTAGCTTCAAAATGTGAAAAGTCTGAAAACTTGGCAAGTTCTGTATTGAATGCTGACACAACTGGCATCTATATTCTGTCCACTTGACCATTAACTTCAATTGTTAATTCTGTGACATGCTTTTGTAGCTTCCTGGAGGTCACATTCAATGCATTGATTACTTCAGGTTATGATAGCTTGGACTAAAGGCAAATTGGCTAAATTACTGAATTAACTGTGACCACTTTGACATTGGGAGTTGATTTTGGGGTGTTGGTTGCAGGCTGCAAGTGCTTGTGTTATGATATTCATACTCAAAACAGGTACTCTCTTAAAACCAACAACTTACTACTCTTATCTATCATAGATTTTCTTTCCTCATTCATCAGAGGGCATCTGTCATGCATTTCTCATGTCAAAAGCAGTCATTCAGCAAGATGCCAGAAAACTCTGGCTGAACTTAAGTTTAGTGTTTTCAAAATTACCACTCTTGCCATGTGTTTGATTCACATGGGTGTAGTTCAATAGCAGAGTGCCCAGGGTATGAAAGTTGCTGCAAGTTAGTAGAATAGAATATTGATTCATCCTTTGCAAAATAACTATTATGCTACCTACAGTATAGACCAGGGACCAACAAAAGCTTGTTGAACATTGAGTTTTGAAGATCTTTTTTTTCTCATTGATCTAATTGCTTTTTGCTTTTTCTGCAGGCACATCAGCAAGAGTAAGAGCCCTGGGTGGGCTTGACTTGACTCCTAGTTATGTGTCATCACTTCTCAAGGACTTGTAAAGAATTGTTCTACAAATCATGACTCTCTCTAGAAAGTCGGGCTTTACTCAGTATGTTCCTTCTGCTATCCTTCCCCTCTTTGTGTGTGACTTTTTTGACACATGTGTTGAGGTTCTCAGGACTTTTGACCATGGTTAGATGGATTCCAGGCACCTCACATTTAAATGGGAAGTTAAAAACTTAGGTCACTGTGATGGGTGCCCCTTGGTAATAATATTCTTTCTTCAGAATAATACAAACAACAACAAAAACATGTTCATGTATTTTTTCATCATAAGAGCATGTAGATTTGTGCACAGGAGATTGCAGTGACTAATTTGGAGTTGTTATTACTATTTATATACACCACACCTTCAATTTCATCACTACATAAGAGTGAAAGACCCAACTTCAGCGTTCCTTGGCACAGCATCGTTGGATTACATTCATCTGTTGACGATATCCATCAACGTTTCGGGATCGCGATCGTGGGCAATGGAGACCCGAAGCGACAGCCAAGATACGGACACTTGAGGGACACATGATGAACGGTTGCTCCCTCTGAAGGGAACGGTCGTTGGTTCTGTCCCTCATATGCCAGACAGTCTTTCATGCTGCTGCTCCTGCGCCACATCCATTACTTACGGCACACCATTCAGCTTTATATTTGACCTCGTTCTGCAAAAAGAAAAAAAAAAAAACAAAACAAAACAAAAACAAACAAAAACAAAAAAAACAAACAAACTTAGTTGACATGTGTGTGTGTGTGTGTGTTTTTTTGAAGGTGATTTTTTCTTTTTGTCTTTGTTTTTGAGTATGCACATTTGAATCTCAAGGAGTATTTGCAATAATCTAAAAACTCTGCCTATCTTTATATCAATAGTAAGCACAATCTGATTTGATTAAGAAAATTAGAATCCATGTTATCAGTGCGATCAATTTATCACCATACACTCAAATAAATTAACTGGAAATACCAAATACGTAGAAAATAAAATACAAGGAAGGGTTCCTGAAGTACCAGGGATTATAAAATACGTACACAAGGAAGGAAGGAAGCGTGCTACCAAATACCCCTCATTCATTCATTGACTAACTAGAACTCTTGCTCCACCGCGACGACACCATCATGACGACGTGGCACAGAAACCCCGAGAAATTCCCTGACAATTTTAGGGCAGCCTCCACGTGGACACAGTCCAACACTTTTTCAATCGCAGAGCCACACCTTGTACCACGTTCCCAATAAAACATTATCGCGTTCCCACGAGTCAAAAGAAACAAAGCAGCCAAGATTCCGCAGACCCCTTACCTGGAAGTCTACGTAATTGTAGGAATAAGCTCATCTACATTCTCAATCTCGTCTCAAAATCCACTACTGTAGATTAGGGTTTGTGAATCTACGAATTCGATGGATTGAAGTTGCTCATGTAAGTTAGAGAGAGAAATGGCGGGATGCAGCAGCGGGGCCGGGGATTTTCCCAACGGGATGGGCAACGCTCGAAACCCGCGCGGTCTCCCGCCACCATGCTTTCTCCGATCGACTTGCCCCGCTATGATGCATCCCCGCTTTTGTGTGTCTGGTTGTGGGGAATCTCTTCCTCTTGTCACCTTTACCGAGGCAGATCTTTTCGGGCATTTTCCCTAGTTGCAGATCGACGAGGATGTGGCCGTTTGGACGTTTCGAGACGTTGAAAGCGCGATGAGAAATGGACGGAGCTGCTGCTGCTGGGCGGAGTGTAGGCCGCTGATCGTGTTGGTGTTCTGGATGAGGAAACCAGGGTTGAGTGTTGGCGGTGGGGATTGATGGATGTCTCGACCTTCATGGCGCAGGTATCTTACGGAGGCTGCTCTTCCTTCCTCCCAAGCTGTTGCGCACTCGATTGTTCCTTTAGCCAATCGCAAATTGGACAGCGGAGTTGGTTGGCTATTTCGTAGTCTTTGTGGTTGTGTTGGATTTGTGAGGTGGGAAGCCAGGGAGCGTTGATGTAGGAATTGGAAGCTTGTGTGTAGGGCAACGTCGAGAGGTTTCTTGCGCGTCATGTTTGTCAATTTGGATGTAGTGTAGGGTGTGTTCGTGTTGTTTTAATTTGGTGGAGACTTGGTCGCTGGTGTTGTATTCCTCGACTCGGGAAATTTTTTCCGTTTGAAATTGCCGAGGTGTGGTATTTATTTATTTATTTATTTATTTATTTATTTTTCATTGGACATTGTCGTTGCGTTTTGACTTGGTTTTGCTAGTATCTTTAAGCTGCCTTCTGTAGTGTAACTCAGGAGTTGACCACCGCTTGATTTTTCATGGGAATGAAGTGATGTTTTTGTGACTGCATTAGTCATGTAGTTGCGCAATGGGGGATAAATGCCCTTGAGAGACTGCAAGCTCATTGAAAAAGTACAATCTTCGGGATTCTCGTGCTCGTGATTGCTGATCAAAGCGTGGAATTTCGTCGTTAGAAATGGAAATTCTTTGCTGTGTTAATTCAGTTGCAAAGCTTTTCCTGACGATTTAGCTTGCTCTGGAGCAATGATCTTCACAATTGCGTAGTGAAAGCGGGGAATTGCAGAATTTGGTGCTGATCGCAAAATTTGTTTGTTTATTTATTTGTTCCCATACAGAAAAGTTCCTTTTCCTCCATTACTACTATAAGAGTGTTTTTTAGCATGGGTCCTTGTGAACCTGAGGCATTAGGCAGATTCGCTCCTTCATTCCTACTGACCATTGGAAAACCTGAATAGTATGTGCTGTGTGCATATCAGATATTCTTGTCCCGACTTCCGATTGCATTTATCTGTTGTGAATTAGATGCTGTTGATACCTTAGTCAGACTTCTGCTAATTCCGTATTGTATATCTATGATGTCTCACCTGGATCATTAACTTAGTGCTAGTCAGAAGAAATGGTATGTCACGTTAGCACCTTCTGGCACAAGCAGCTACTGTTTTCACGTTTGGCTTCTCCTGTTTGTCATTACGACTGGCAAACACGCAGGCACGATTGGGTTATTTTATACCAGTACCTTACGTAAAAACAAATTTATATATCGGCTGAGTTTCTCTGGTTGTGCCAGGCTACAGCCCTCCGAAGGTGCAAGGTGCCTACGACCAAACACTAACGTCCAAACACGATCCAGGTCTTTTGCGATGTAATGTGTATTCTGTAGATTGGTGTCTACTGTTGTTAGTGTTCGACTTTTTCTGAAAGGGGCAATTCTGTCGACATCTGTCTCGTTCAATTTGTAGGAGTGCCTTGACCTGGATCTCGTTGGTTGTATATGCAGATCGTTGGTGTTAGCCTCTCTCCTAGAAGTTGCTGATGAAACGCAGGATTAGTATTGGGCATGCTAATCAAGTCGATCGCACGGATGTATAGGGGAACGAGTGTAGGAAAACGTGTGTGCGGGCGGAGGGTTGGTGGTGTTTACTCAGAGTATGACTGAACATTTATATATTTCCTAAGATAAGTGAATGTAAAGTTATTTGTGGAGGGAGTGTAAAGTGCCTCAATATATTACGTTGAAGGTGTTGACAAGATGTGGGCGCCTATGTGTGCCAAAAGCAGAGATGCTTTTGGCTTAGTTGGAGACCCTCAGAGTTGCTTGAGCTCCGTAATGATCGTGATGTATGCTAGCCTTGCTATCATCGATTTCCTAATAGCGACTGCAGCTGGAATTCAGGTGATTTTTTATCCCTATCTGATGGTCATTGTTGTTGATGATTCATTTTGGTTGAGTTACCAACTTATTCTGTGCTTGAGAGCATGCAACTAATCAATTCTTGTTCTCTTTCTCTGATTTGGCTGTAGAATATGTTTACTTGAGTCTAAAGTTTGCAATTCCTCAAATGACATCTCTATCTTGATGCACATGTGTAGCTGTTGAGACACCACTTGCAGAACAGACGTATTGGTTGGACACGACAGAAGGTCAGACCTTCAAGCTTACCCAAATTCAAAAAATGATTTTCCTGTGTGTTATGATGTCGCCGTTGTTCATTCGTGGTATGTCTCCGATGTAATAGGAATTCGTTCCGTCGTCTATCTCTGACTCTTAAGTGTCCGTGCAGGTTTTTCACTGCCTTATTGGTGCTGCAAATCTTGGTAGGATTCCCTCTTAATTATTATCAGTTGTAATTCAAATTTGGAGGTTTCTTTATCTGTCCCCAGAGAGGGAAAGAAAAGTATTGTTAGATAGTCCATTAGTCAAAGGCATCAGAAACCAACAGTATATCATCTGTAAACTGATGTGAGATTTGCACCTGTTTTCCTCTTGGTTCTTATCAAAAGCTATTTCATGTATAAATTAACCATTTTTGGCTTCGTATGTTCGGTTTGGGGAGCAGGTTATGTCTTGTACTTCATCTTAACCATAGTGGCGGCATGTAAAGGATGGGCATGCTTTTCAACAGCCTGCGGATTTATCCTGATTGGTGGGGTGTTCCTCCTCTTTGTGGGCCTCTATCTCACGTTGTGTCGTATCCAACTTTACTAATGTAAACACTTCAATCTTATAGCATAACAGACTAATATGAGCATATTTCGGTTACACTTAGTTTGATATGGCATGTTGTGCATGCGACCTGATTCTCATAGAAATGCTTCCGTGTGTATCTGTATGCAGCGGCACCCCAAACATTGTTCTTAGCTACTTTTTTGTTGCTTCTTTCATTCTGGTAAGTGCGCATACCTATGTTAGAAGCTTGAATGCGCAATGCAACATGTGAGTTTAGTCATTAAATAACATTAAGCGAATGTTGGTTGCTTTACTTTTTGGATCTGTATAATATGTGGTAGTACTTTCTGAATAAGAAAACGGGTGTGCTGTATTCAAATTGTAAGTGAGGTTGTACTGTATTTAGGGTGGATTTATGCAACCAGCCGAACGACAACGATGAGGACGAAGACGATGAGGATGTGGATTATGAGTATGTGCAATTGCCTTCTTCTCCTTATAGTCCGGAGTCAGGAGGAAGTAAGCCACATCGGGCATGTTTATCATTTCGACGTTGGCATGTTCGAGGACGGCAAAGGTACGTGATGTTGGTAAGTTACTAATCCTGGTCATGGAAGCAGAAGTGAGTCTTTTTTTTCATGAAAGTAATATAGCCACTGAAGTGGTTGTTTCAGTTATGAGTTTTTAAGAGAACTGTTTTTGTCAAAATCGCAGGTGGTGTCTATTATCATCTTGTTGACGGTGGTTTTTGCTTTGTTGATTTGGTATGGAATGTACGACAACCCAATAGACTCCGTGAAACTTGCACAGGTGAGTCCCATATCTCATATTCACGATAGTCAATTACAGTTGTTGGGTGTCCTTGTATCGGAACAGTCCGTTGATGGATCCAGAAACATCTGAGAACACACTCCTAGGTGGAGTGAGTCATCAGTGGTGATGAGTTTGGAATTGTTTGCATTCGAGTCGGATGGGCGGATAGTTTTAACGAAGCATTACTTTCATGTAAATGGTTGCTCTTTGAGTTCTAATAAAAGAATGGTGTTTTGGGATTTGTGTATACACTTAAATATTTACAGTCACTGTGATGGTTTTCCTATGGTTTTCATGTTCTTGTAAAGGTTCGTCAGTGAAGAAGTCTGCTATTTTGCCCAAGTGCTGCAGCATCCTGAAAATTTGCCCCGAGTTTATGTGTTTTACGAATTGGTCGGTACAGCTATAGCTATAGGTATTATTTGAGCTAGGATTTCAATTCGTTCATATTGTTTTGATTTGCAGGTTTATGCCAACCTCTTTGCTTTAGTAATACTTCTTTCAGGTGTTGGTCTAGCCGGATACGGTGAGTACTCTATTTTTTCTGGTTGTTGATCTTGGAATAAGTCGGCTTGCTTGACGTGTGCAATTTATCTTGAATTTGTTTCTGAACAAAGTAGTTGACCAGTCTCGATGACCTAATATGTCCATCTGAATCTGTTCAGGGTTGAATTTGTACACGAAAATGAGCAGAATAAAATCAGGCAGGACTTCAGCAGACATCAGAAAGGTACTTCTTTGGTTCAAGTTCTACAAGGAATGCTCAGAATTGAATGTCCTATTTTAGTTTCCAGCACTGAGTTCTGAGCTTGTAACGAGCATCTAACAACTTTTACACGGGGTTTCAGGTGGTGTGTTTGGCAGTTGCTTCAGTTCTGTGTTTTTCTCTGAAGGCCTTTTTGGTCGTTATGAGTGACCTCACCGTAAGTGCTCATCCAAGTTCCTCCAAGTTTGGAAATTAGAGAAGTGCATTGCTGTGCTATCCTCAGTCGAATCGCTGTAATATCATCTATCTGTCTACATTAAGTACATAATAGCAATGTTGGGTGCGTCGCAGGATCTCAACATATGGCGTGTAGAGCGTGGGGACAGTCAGTTATGTGCACCTCTGATCTTCTTTTATTATGTCATAGGTATGGTCATTATTATGAAGTGCCTTCCTCTTTGATAAGATGACTTCGAAAAGTGCTTGCTTTGGTTTCGACATGTAAAGCCTTGAACCGAAGGATTCGCCAGAATCTTAACTGGTTACCTGCAATATAGATACAACCCTTTCCATGCTAAACAAACGAATAGATGAATGTAATATTCCTTTTTATACCACCATGCCTTCATCTCAGTTCAATTTTATATCAAAAAGTATTTGAAGTGCTCAGCTAACAATCCTCTCGTATGCAGCCTGAAACTGTTACCGGAGTATTAATGACTTGCTGGAGAAGAGTTTTTGCTTATAATATGAAGATCTAATTGTTGATACACGCTGCTTTGACAGGGGAATCTGTACCTTCTATCGTTGTGTTATGGGAGATGAGGGACCTGCCTCCAAGACCTTGTAGCAGGAAGAGTAGTGGCGTAACGTCACAGGAAGGGTTGACTGAGGATGCACTACTAATTCCAGATCCAAACTATTTGGCACAGTTAATGTCGTCAGCTGGCCGACGATACATGCTGTTGCCAAAATGTTGCGACAGTGATGTTTCTCCTTAAATTGAGGTATGTTTCTATTTCTCGTACTGCATTAAAGTAATATATTCGTAAGTGTTCTTATAGTGTGTAGTTCAGTATCATCCCATGTGAAGGCTTGAAAATTGATGTTAGGGCATTTTTGGGGGGTCTTATTGCAGATGGCAAATCGAGCTGCTGGTTGGGAGCCATGTACTTTTGCTGTTTGTATAGGCGTATTTGGCTCTAATGTGAGTAACTTATTGTAAGCCAACCTTGCAATTTCAGACTTTGTTCTGGTCGTGGGTATTGATGCCATGTATCTGAATAGAGTTCAGCCGAATGTGCACCGTGTATGAACCTCAAATTGACATCAAGAGGAACTCGAGAGGGCGTCTGGTTTTCCCTGTACACCGTCATGGATACCAAGAACGCTGGGTACGAGTCATTCAATGCGTCAGATCTTAAGAGCTGGACTTAATTGCTTGGTTTGGGGTTATGAAACTTCGAAGCTGGTACCTACCCTGACTTAACTGCCTGAGATTGAGGTTCTTTGAGAGCCAGCAAAGATGTGTACGTCTGCACCGAAGGATGTCTTTTAGATCGCAGCATTTGTTTTATTTTGGGATTGAGGCTTAATGGTAGGTGCTTCCTTCAGTGTACAGTCGAAGAATTAGTTCTGGAAGTAGGCTATTGCCTGGTTGAAATATACTCAACAGGAGCGTCTTCTTCAACCTTGTGCTCATATTGATTAGTGCTTTTATCGCCCACATTGGTGGTGTGACTGTACATACCGAAAGTTTCTTGAGTGGTACAAATGGAAATTGTAATTTGATTATATATGGTTAATAATTCAAATATTTGTAGTCTAACGTTGGTCCTTACTGTTGAGTCCCCATATGTGCACGTCCCTTATTGGTAATTTGCAAGTCTCCTAATTTCCAGGCTTGCCTAAATCTACTAGTACCGATTTTAAGTGTTTTAAACTGGTAGATTGTATATGTGGTTGAACCTGATTTATTTAATTTTGAAAATCTCTTCCAGTTCGATGTGAATCTTATATGTAGGCTATTTAAAACATTCTTTAGAAATTGAACCCGTATGTCTTGTGATAATATAATGAGGGTCTATAACTAGGAGTTTGGATTAAAGATAACAACCACTGCTATAACATACTACTTACTAAATACTTTTCTGTTGTGTCAAAATATTCTTTAGAAATGATTAAATCTTGTTATGTATATTCAAATTCATAATATATTTTCATGTCTTTTATGCTGTGCTACAAGATTGGTTCAGTAAATGTTATGAGTTTGGTGAGCATTACTTATGAATGATATTTGGATATAGAATTTAAGAAAGGATGGTAAAAACTAAAATTCAAATCTTTTTGATTGAGGTCTTAACCTTAGGTGAGCCACAAACTTTATCTTATATTGGATAAAGATAATAAGGACTATTTTTCTATTTTTGCATGCTTCTTTAATACTATATATATATTTATGTATTTTTATACATTGATTAATTAATGATAATATTTTTAATTTTTTTAATTTATTAAGAGTAGTTTTTTATTCAAACTTATACCATTGTAAGTTATATTAACAATAATTTTAATATTATATAGTAATTGATGAAAGACAAATAAAATATATCTTGTTATCTTTAGCACCATGTAGTGTTTTTGTATTATCCAAAGTCTTATTTGAGAATGCACCAATTATATTTTTAAAATAAATTTTTAATGTGGATACAATTATTTTAAAAATTCAAATAGGTTCTAATATCTCTAAAGTAAAGAAAATTCTAATTCCAACATGTAATGCTTTAATTCTAAAATAAAGTCTCTAAAAAAATCGTTTTCAAAAAGTTTAATAATACATATATACAAATATCTTATTTTTATTCTACTATTTAGTGACTTTAGACCCTCCTAAAAAATATAAACTTAATTAGAATTTTTTAATAAAACATAATTCTTAATTAACCGCTTAAAGTGATGTTAAATTTTACAATGTACAACCACTATATAATTCTTTTACATATTCAAAACTTTTGAGACAAATCTAACTAACAAATTGAAAGATCTTATAATAAATCTATATTATTGCGGGATGTCCTTTTATAAATTTGTTAAAAAATATTACTAGTGGCTATAGTTTTTAATCTAATCATTAAATTCTATTCAACTTTAGTAGCTAATTTAATTTTAAAAACTACTAGTAGCATCTTAGATTTGACTTTAATCTAATTTGTGAATTTGTGAATATTATAGAAATCTTAATCAATCTATAATGTAAAATTCTAATACTTTATTGTATATATGGTTAGATGTCTTTTAAAGAGAATATTGAATAGATCCATGATTTTACTAAATAGATCCATTGAAATGGGATTGGACTATCTCTAAGATCTAAGATCCTTCTAATTTGTAGCAATATAAATCTTGTCACAACATAGGACAACATAGACCAGAACAAAACTCAACAAATCTAAACAAAATGGAACATGAAAGGCAAAAATAAAATAAAATAAAAAAAAGAATAGAAAAGAGTTGAATAAAAAAATGCATAATCAAACTTTACTAAGAGAAAGGAACCAAAGCCATATTTGACCAACTACCTAAATAGCCTTGTCTAATTCTATTTATACTTTGTCCAACTATTATATAATTTTTTAGAATATTTATAATGGTGGATCCTACCTAAATAACTATCCTTAGTTCTTTCTAGAATGTTCTATGGTAGATCTGACATAGACCACCAACCTCATTCCAATTTTAGAAACTTAAAAAAACTTTTTAAACATGGCTCCAACTACCTATCTCTATGCATCAAGAATACAAATATCTTATCCATATTCCATTACAATTAATCTCCTTCTACGAATGCTGAACTTCCTCGTTTTTTTCATAATAGTATCTCCAAATTGTTTCTTAATAGTAGGTGAGATTTTGTATAGGTTCTTATGTTATATTATTGATGACATAACCTTTCCAGAGGACTTTGAACTGAAGTTGTGGACATCTATTGCCATGACAAAAGTAGCAATGCTCCAAAATGTTATCTATTTTATATTCTTATTGGTCATCAATCACAATTGGTGGTGGTGGTGGTGGTGGTGGTGGTGGTTGGTGTTGGTCCAGAAAGCACCTTAACTCATTATGAAATTCCCTGAGTTGCAAAATATGAAAGATCAAATAGATCCAAATATGTAGTGGAAGCTTGAGATAGTATGCAAGATCAAAAATCACTACAAAAATGTGGAAAGATCTAAGTGACTATACTGCCAACTTATGGATTTGGGGTGATGGAGCAAGTGGAAAGTTGGCATTGGAAAGTAACACCCACTCACTCTTTTAGAAGGTCTTTTCTTGTCGGTGGTTATCTGCATATGTGAAGGACATGAATCTCAAAGAAAGAAAATCCTGGATACACTATTGTGTCATTGAAGAAAATTAGAAAGTCACTCAAAAGGTAATTTAATATTAACTAGAATAGCTATTGCTAAAAATAAAAAGACTAAAAAGTCTTGAAAGAAGACTAAGGATTAGAATGGTGTTGATAAGAGTGAAGAAGGCTTCACTCTTGCTTCCATATATACTCTTAACTAGGAGCTATGTGGCGATGTCATATAGGACCTCCAAAATATTTTGACTTTGCTAGTCGCATGTCTTAACTTAGAAGGCAAGTTATCTATGTATATGCCACATGGTTAGCTTGTTCCACAAGCTACTATATGGAGTTAACTTGTTATACAAGCTACCAACACATAGTTAACTTGTTGGCCAAGTTTTCAACCTACAAACACATCTCAAGTCAAAATCGTATCTATGAAGCTTTTAAGAAGCTTTACTAAAAGATTTTATGAAATTTTTCTATATTTACCTATTTCTACTTAATCATGTAAGTAATTATTGAGGTAATTATATATGTCTATGATATTATCTCCTCTTTTAGGAACAAGTTCCATGAGGAGCAATCTTCATATGTTAAGAAAGTCCAAGATGTGGTAAATTATATTTTCTACAAACTCTGATCTTTATTCTCTTTGAAGATGGTTGATAAGCCTTCTCAGCCATCGATAATATCCCATACAAGAGCAAAAAGATCAGTTTGTTATTTGATTGTTATTGAAGCGTTTGTAACTTCTTTCAAATAAAATATTTTGAACACTCTCAGGAGTTGTTCCTACCTCTAATAAAATCACCAATAAGTGGGAGTCTCTTCCAAGGTCATGATACCAAACACGTTGTATCTCGCCATCTAATCGAGGAAGGACAAGTTATTCTTCCGGATCTTCATCTCGATTTTGTCATCTTGAAGGTTGAGACAATCACAATATCTCATCTTACATGTCTGCAAATAAAAGCTCTTGAGTTGAATCTGCTGGTTGTTGATTCTCCATCTTCTTAGTATCACAAATACATATAAGCTACAAAAAAAGATAGAAGGTAGAATGTTATCTTCTTTTGATCTTGTTTCTTTTATAGCAAAGATTTTCTATTTTTCATCTTGATTTTGATAGATTTCATTGATGAAAAGCTTCAACTTTCTTTATTATATTTACAAGATTCTTTGATGACTTCCATGTGCATTCTTTAATATCATATTTGTACCAATAAACAAGATATTCTAACCTATTTCAGTGTTGCCTTGAGTCTAAGACTTCTTCCACCTCGAATTCTTGATTATTATCTACTTCTATAGAAGGAGGTGGCATTTATCTTCTTTCCAAAATATTCACTGTCTTATATGGCTCAAGAAGGGATACATGAAATAGAAGGTTGATTTTCATAGACTCTGGTAGATATAATCAATAAGCAATAGAATTGATTTGTTCACAAATAAAAAAAGGTCCCAACCTACGATAGTCCAACTTATGACAAAGACAAGTAATCTTGATATTGCAACAAAGTAACCATATCTTGCCACCTACGTTGAATTATGGTTTCTTTTTGCGAGAAGTATCCGCGTTGGTCTTTTGTAGTCCTTGAGCATCTTTCAATTGTATCTTCATTGTTACATGTAGCTTTGACAAATGATTTGCTAAATCTTTTGTCAGAGGATTATCAACTTTTGAAAAGTCAAAAGTATCAAGTCATAGATGATATCCATAATTAGCAAAGAAAGGTGTTTGTTTAATAGAAGAATGTAATAAATTATTATATGCAAACTCTGCTAATGGCAAAAAAGTTGTCCAATCATCTTGATAATAGTTGATGGTACATCTAAAATACTGCTCTAGAATTTGATTCATCCATTGTCGTAATACGTGAAGTCTTCCTTGAGAATGCTTCGAGCATTTGGCTATGGAAGATAGAATAGAAATTGCAACAACAAAATCTTAGCTCTAATAGAATACTAACTAGACTCTAATTAGACTATAACAATGCTAAACAAGCTTTAATCAAATTTAAAGAAACCTCAAAGAAATTACAAAGAAATAATAAAAAATCTTAAAGAAATATTAGAATGATTACAAATATATCTCAAATACATCTCAATTAAATCTTAATTTAATCCTAGTTAAAATCCTATTGGACTTCATTCAAATTTTAGGCCAAAAACTAACTAAATCTTAAACCCTAAATAAATCCTAATAAAATCCTAAATCCTAAATCCTAAATCAAATCCTAATCAAATCCTAAATAAAATATTAATCAAATCCTAAATCCTTAATAAAATCCTAACCAAATCCTAAACCCTAAATCAAATCCTAACCAAATCCTAAACCAAATCCTAATTCTTAAATCAAACCCTAGTAATTCCTACAACAGATTTAAATCTCAATTATTAATGAATGAACCATTGATCTTAACTCAAAATTTTCATGCTTTTTAAAAATTAAGTTGACAACAAGTACAAAAAAATTTAAAAAGGAT